TGATGGAAGTGCAGGGTTGTTGCACCTAATTCTTTTTGGGCGTTTGGTTTCGCCGGCTTCGTGAGATCTTAGGGCCTGTTTACATGAAGGTGGGGGACCCCAGATAGGTGAGGTAACATGTGGGAGGTCACCCCACCTATCATGTAAACGTAATCAAATTAAAATGAGAGATTATACGGACGGGAGGGTTACCCCACCTAAGCGGGTTACCTCACCTACCTGGGGTCCCCCACCTTCATGTAAACAGGCCCTTAGGCCCCGTCCACAGGTATCCGTTTTTGGTTTGAAAACGAAGAGTTTTTCTCTCCCGGTTTGGTCTACTGTCCACACCTCACGTATCCGGTGAAAATGATCACCGATAACGCATCTTTTCACAAACGCTCTCCAGAGTGGAGATGTTTGGAAACGCCATTTTGCTGAACTCGTGTGGATAGACTTGAAAACGGAGTCTTTTTGCCAACGATTACGTCACGTTGTTGGATGCCGGTAAATGCGCATGCGCCCATCAAAGATGGCTCTGTTTTGTAGTTTTCAGTCAGACTCCAGTCACTATTGCTTTTTAGTGTTGACGGGCCAAAACGATTCAACAACGCAACCCGTGGAGGCGGATTTCGTGTTGAAAACGGGGGAAAATCTCTGTTTGCGAACAAAAAACGGATACTTGTGAACGGAGACTAAAACTCGCTCTTGTCTTGTTTACAGTTGTATGTACATTTCTGGAGTGCCAGGTACAGGAAAAACAGCCACAGTGCATGAGGTGTTACGCAGTATTCAAGAAGCTGACGATGATCTGCCTGAATTCACATTCGTAGAGATTAATGGAATGAAGCTAACAGAACCCGCTCAAGCTTATTCTGCCTTTTTAAAGGTTGGTGCTAAACAAAAAACTTACTGGATGGTTGTGTAAGTGCCCTTATTTGACATTGACAAAGCGATCTCATAAAATGTTAGGAAAAATATAAAAGTCTAATAAATAATCCGCAAAGGTGGATTTTCGCGCATGCTCTGTTTTCAATTATATCCCAGACCTTGACGGACGAGAGATGCGCGCTACAGTGTCAGGGAAATGATCTGCTGCACCAGAGAGCCGGAAATTTCGTCTAAACTCCACCTCATCCATCGTTTGAACCACTCGATTGATCGCTGACGAACTTTTCAACGAGGTTTTCGCACAAGTTTGGCAACAGCCCAACACTAACCTTGACCGAAATATTAATATGACACGAAAAAGACAGTGTAAAATACGGCGATTTTCCAGACCGAAGCCAATCGTTTCGCATTTTTGCACGCTCGAACCATTGTCGAAAATTACGCGAGGCACTAAAAGAGACTACGTCATCATTGGACGGGTCTGGCCGCGAAATAAGACGTGAACCATTTATACGAGCAGGTCGCGTCTTATGGAAGCAGTGGCCAGAGTTGGGGCGTATTTGTTCTCGAATAAACGGTCCTATTGCCTCTATTTTCTTCACGCGCTTCCGCGCCCAAAAATTATGCGACCGTGGGACAGTGTGACGGGCTGGGGCACGATCGGAAGCACGTCTACTTCGTGTCGCAGACAATTCCCTGATTCGCTCTGACGAAACCAAGCGCTTGAAGTGTTACCTTCTTATTACCCCTACTGTGGCCAATCTACTTTATAATCTCTGCTGGTAAAACCAAATTCCGCACTGTTTTACTTCCAACCCTACGCGACACAACTGTTTCTGAAGAAAATAACTTCTTTTTATTCAGACTAACCTCACTCAGTCGTCTTGAGCTGTGTATTTTAACAAGCGTTTTTTTCCCTATGTATCCACAGCTACTAACGGAACAGAAGGCCACTCCAGAGCATGCGTCCAACCTGCTGGATAAGCTATTCAATACCCCGGATCCTAAACGCGATCCCGTGATCCTTTTGGTGGATGAGGTACGAGCGTGCACTACTCGTAAGAGAACCATTCGTTCAGTACTGTTTTGTGTTTGTTATCGGCAATGCCAACATTGCTGAAACATTCGCACGATACTGCTCGCAATATTGCGCGCGATGTTCTTCCAACACCGACCTTGAATTGTTGTACGCAGCTTAACGCGAAAGAAATCTGGGAAACAATATCCTGGGATTCTGGGGCTTAATTTTGTGTCTCATTGTATGTCGGCAGTTTTTCATTTTGTCCGGTATTATGCTTGGAATGATCATGCTTTTAAGAAAAATGTAACAATTTTTCAATAATACAAGTCACGGTATTGTGGGATGGTGACAAGATACTAGCATTTTATTTGCTAAGAATGCCACATGAAGACGCATCCATTTAGCGAAGGGAGTTCACACACTTCTGTGGTGTGGATATATTCGCATTATAGACATATGAGTTAAACGCTGTCCACATTCGATATTTCTAGAATAGTGCCTGTTTACGAGGATATCTTCATTCGATCGTTGATGAAAGCCGAAAAAGCGAAAGTTTGTCGTAACAAGCGTAAACGACCTCTTGCCTACAAAGCCTTGATTTCTTTGTAGAAATGCTTTCCTTTTCTTCTCTTAAGCAATGTTTAAAAGGTTTTTATAGTCTCCTGAGACCTGGGCAAAACTTTATAATTATAACGTTTTTAAAGAGAAAATAGAGTGTCGGTGCGCGTTGACAGGAAAACCTTTCAGATTTATCATTTGATTTCGGAAATCCTCTCTTTTGCCGAAACGTGCTTGTCAACTTTTAACTTGAGGAGAGGTGATTTGATTTTCCTCTCATTTTAGCTGGATCTTTTGTGGACTCGTAAACAGCACGTTTTGTACAACCTGTTTGAGTGGCCTACTCGGCGTCACGCCAGGCTGATTGTGTTGGCCATAGCGAACACCATGGATTTACCAGAAAGAATAATGATGAAACGAGTTTCCAGTCGCTTGGTAAGGAAAAAGGGCCCTATAAACCTTTTGAATTAACTTGGAAGATTACCTCTTTACCTCTTTACAACGGCGCCTCCCTAAAACAGAGACCTGGTTAGTGATTTGGTCTCCGCTGTGCTTCAGTTAGATCCTTATGACTCTCTTCAATGCGGACACCCATCTAAAACGGACACTAAGAGCCGAACCCAACAGACACACCAGACAAAAAACGAGAATTACAACTTGCTTTTGAATATGCCAGTGAATTCGCTTGCTTAGAGAAACTTTGCCCCATTTTCTCTCTCTCCACCTTGGTGTATAAGCATAATGTTTATAACGGTGGCATAATGGTGTATAACGAGCAACATTAAATGTTATGGTGGGAATGTGCATTTTTGTACAATCTGTGAAATTATATTCCTATTAGGTGGTCTTTGAAAAGTCCTTGAAAAGCCATTGAAAAATGGCTTCACAAGTTTGAGCATTTTTACTGCAGGTTATCCAGTAACCATGACATGTTCTTTTCAGGGGCTTACTCGGTTGACTTTCCAGCCTTACACGTTTTCACAGCTCCAACAGATTGTCATGTCTCGGATCGCCGGACTGAACGCCTTTGAACCGGATGCTATTCAGCTTGTGTCTAGAAAGGTATTCAAAAGATATGATAGTATGGTAGTTTTTCTCGCTTGTTCATAGACTCTATATTTCTCTTAAGAGATCGTCGAGCACTCTTATGCGCTCCGCGTTTCTCTTGCTTGCTCGCGAAAGAAAAAAAAAAGAGAAAGAAAAACGCCTGTGGACAGGCTACAGTTTTCTGCTAACAGAACCTGTCTTTCACTGGCTCGATTTTGGCGTGCTGAAGAAAGACACTGCACGAAGCCATTAAGATTTTTGTTGAGCATGCGCAACATGTTGCTAGGATACAATTTCGAAACCAGGCGTAATAGCCGTGCGCTTGGTACAGCAGGCTCAGATATGACCATCGGGTTATCAATAAACGTATGCTCGTATTCGAAAAATCCAGTTTGACCAGAAAAAAAAAGATTAAAGATTTCGGACTGCGGCGTCTACAAAGGCTTGACGCGATGCAGGCAGAGCCTCACTCAAGAAAACTAAAGGAGGCTCTACTTATAGGGTGGATTAATTTGTCCTTCATTTCTCATTTCAAACAGTAGGCCACTTCCGAGTTCCAAAAACCCTCACTTTCAAAATGAGGCCAAGTGCTAAACCTTTCTTGTGAAAATGAGTTTTATTTGCATGAGAATGAAAAATCATTTCCATATCAAAGGCTGAGCGCTTAACCTCGTTTTGATGCAGAGGCCCGGGGGAACTCGGAAATGCCCTATTCGTTCGCATACTTACTTTAAGTCTCTCAAATTTCATCAGCGGTGTAAAATGAATTTTACAACAACTGAGCGATTTCTACCGCACTGATTGGTCTAGAGCTATGTTCAGTAAGAGTACAGACCATGTAAGTAACGTAATGGTACCGCAATAGGCCATTTCCGAGTTCCTCCAGGCCTCTGTTTCAAAACGAGGTCAAGTGCTCAGCCTTTGATATGGAAATGATTTTTCATTCTCATGCAAATAAAACTCATTTTCATAAGAAAGGTTGCGCACTTGGCCTCATTTTGAAAGTGATGGTTTTTGAACTCAGAAGTGGCCCATTTGTTTTCTCTTAGTTTTTCCGTGAAACTTCAACGGAAATGGACGTCAAAAACTGTCAACTTTGCAGTTGAGTTCTAAACATTTTGACATCATTTCTATGGTCGATAAGAGTACAGACCATGGAGAATTGTTGTCGATTTGTTAATGAGATTCAGCTTGCCAAGATCGCCATGAAAGAAAATCCTCTCTGAATAGGGACGAGTGATTGGACTTCTCATTCATTTAAAATCCTCTCTTGAGAATAACTGAATTTCATCCATTTTACATCGCTGAAGCTAGAGTGTTTCGAACGAATTGCTCTGAAATTTGTCTTTTCTATATCTCTTTATTTTGCGTTTGGGGTTTGAATGGAGCATTTGAATGTTGATGTTCACCATCTGTGCCTCACAGGTGGCTGCCGTGTCAGGTGACGCCCGTCGATGTCTAGATATATGCCGCAGAGCAGTAGAGATCGCTGATTCACGTTCAAAGAAGAAAGGCACCGCATTGGTTGGAATGAGTCACGTGGATGAAGCACTACAGGATATGTTCTCTTCACCCAAGATACGAGCCATGATGTAAGTCCTTAAGACCCCCGTTTACACAAAACCCTCGGAACCATGCAAGTTTTTGAACTGCAGTGTGCAGAAATTTGTATGTACTCATGTAAACAGTACTGCAATCTGTAACAAAATTTGCATGGTTTTGTGTGAACAGGTTGCGTAGGTAAAAAATTTCTCCGTTCAAAAATTTGCCCCGGACCCATGTAAATGGGGTCTTAGTTTCTTCCTAGTTTGTTAAATTTCTTTTTACCAAAGGTAAAAAGAAAGTTATTTACTTTTCCTGGACTCTCAGTCAAAATAAGCTGAAGCAAGTTTGTAGCTTTATTTCTAATTTTTAGCCGGTTTCCGGTCCTGTAGGCCAACATTCAAAGACAAAGTATAAAGTACGTTTAGCCAAGTATGTTTATAAGAGTTGATAGCACGCAAACTGTGGCTTTATTGAATTGCATGGGTGGGTTGTTCAAAGTGATTGATAGTTGTTATGCTTTTACCCTTTAAACCCTAGGATCAAAATTGAAATTCTCATTTGTTTCCCTATTCATTTCCTACAGAAGTAGTGGGGAGAAGTTGACAAAAGATTAAGCGAATTCATCTTGTGTGATTGTGTCCTTAATTCTCATGACCACTCTGTTTTACAAAGCACTGATATTTCAAGGGGAAATTTGATGCTGATCACCCTTAGGGCTTAAAGTGTTAATAGTTATAGCCATTTTTTCATACTTTAGGTGCTTGACAGAGATGGAGAGTCTCTTTTTGAAGTCCGTTATCGCCGAGTTTCGTAGTTCAGGACTGGAAGAGGCAACGTTTGGCGATGTGAGTGGAACCCCAAGCTCTTTTTCACGAATTCTGGTCACTAATTTCTCTAGGCTAGCACTTAAATTCACTTTTGAGTTAAACGTGATTGATAACCTTACTGGGTTGCTATCAACCTGGAGCAAATACATTCACAGATTCACAATTTTGTCAACTGTGCTGTTTTAGGCTATTTTCACACGAGTTCCCTAAGTTTTAGACCGCAAACATCCCCGCCGTATTTCCCCTAGGTTGAGAATGCGCGCGCCAGCTGAGCTGTCAAACGAAAGAGGAGAAAGGGTGAAAACGGTGAGGCTCGCGCGCTTCGCGCAAAAATCTCACTTCGCTCTGCTTCGCGCCTTTGCAAAACCGATTTTGAGAGAAAAAACCGACTGTCTAGCAGTCTACCGAAGTTTTTAAACGCGTACTCGAGTAAATGCTGAAGGTAAAACCCCTTCTTAGGTAAAACCTGGATTTCCCCTTTACACTTTCACCCTATGAAGATTGAATGGTATAACCTCAGAACCGATTTACCGACAACATAAACACGCTGGAACGATCTTAAAAGAATTTTTTCGTTTATCTCTGGGGAGTCGATTTTTGTTTTTTGTCTCGAGAAGGGAACTTAGGTGACTTTAAGCATTAACAACGGTTAAGGATTATTTCCATTTCATTTCCTCGCTTTACTATTGGTTAAAAAATCTCCTGCCTTTTATCCTAACCAATCTGAAACAAGCCTTTCAATTTTTTTCCTTGCTTGGTGCCGATGACGTGCATTTGTTCCGATATCTGATTGGTTAATTCCATTTTCTTTATCTGTTGTGATTGCCAAGGTTACTTACATATATCTTGTCTTTTATTTAAAAAACCCAAGTGCAATTTTGTCAAGTCGCGCTTTAGTAATTAAAAAATCCTTGTTGTTTCAGGTTTACCAACAGCTTGTCGATTTTTGTCGTATTGAAGGTAAGGCAACACTCTTTGACTTATTTTAATCTGTAAAGTAACGAAAAAACGTAAAATTTTGTTAGTAAAACCTTTCTCTTGTCTGACATACTCATGAGTCGTAGTTTCATACCCCGTCGACAAAGCAATTTCTCATGATATTTCTGCTGCGGCACATTTAATTTGGTTTTACACACCAAGGCGAAACGAGGTTCTGCTGTCGAATACACCCAACTTTGTTCCCGTGCTTTCATGTCTTCCATTAGCCTGCGAGCAATCTCTCTCGGGGGAGGCGGTGGGGGGCTAGGGGGACGGGGAGGAAATGGAATGAGATTACAGTCCTTGTGTTGCGCCATTTTCATGATGCATCCATGCTCAACTATCCCAAGCAGATGACCTTGTATAAATGATTTGATGAATTATTCGGCCATTTCTCAGGTGATGTTTGTTTTAATTTGGCTTTTTGTTGTGTTTGCATTGTGCGCGAATCAAAAGTGCGGCGGCCTGGGTCAGGTCCGTACAACCGGAGTGTACCATTTCAATGGGCACGTGGAATTTTCCAAATTTCAAACCGAATTTTTGTTCAATGGAGAGCGCCCAGCTCTTGTTAGCCTTTGCACTCTTATATCCAGGGCTTTTCCTTTGTAGATTGTCAGGGTCAAAAATTCCCATTTCCTTTCATACCTTGGCAATTACTACATCATAATCAGATTCGTATTTCTTTCCCTTTTTTTAGGAGTCACCGCTCCGACACCTTCCCAAGCCGCGGCTGTTTGTTGCCGCTTGGGAGCCTGGAGACTACTGCTAGTGGAATCCGGCCGTCGAGATCTGGAGCAGAGAATTCGTTTGAATGTTAATCAAGATGATGTACTGTATGCTCTCCAAAAGAAACGCACGTGACAGTCACGTGTACAAGTCATACGCATGCTTAGACTCTCTTGGATATAAACACACATTCCCATTACACGGAACAATTGGAAGAGTTAAAAAGACAAGTTTTTGCTATTTTTATATTAGATATGTATTTTCTATTCTCATTAAGTGATATGTATTACCTTGGAATCGATTGGTTTTCAATCCACGTTATATATAACCAATTTTTAAAGACATGTGAGGCGTTGTAAATTAAGATTTGAATAAATGAATTTTATTTTTATACCGTTAATGTATATATAAGATTTAGGGGTGAATCAGATTTTTGACAAGGGCATTTAATCCGCGAGAAGGAAGTATGAGTGGAGGAGAGGTCATGGCCTCCCAGGTCAGAAAATGTTCAGGAAAAAAATTGTTTAAAGTTAGGGAAAAGTCATAAATTTATTTCGAGGAAAGAAGAATTTGAGACACATTATGTGGTAGTGATATTAGTTTACCACAGTGTAGCAAGACCTGTCCTGCTGCTAAAGAAATGCAAAAGCTTTCGTTTCGAGCGCTTCCCTTGGGCAGACAAAGGGCCATGAATGGTCGAATGCTCATTATTTCGTATCGTTGCATCTTAAGGAGTTCGTGTTAGAGTGAAATTCCGATAACGACGTTGCCTTTAAACGACAACAAAAGATAGATGAAATGAGGAAAAATGTCACAAAGTTGGTTTGAAACTGTAACAGGGACGAACACCGCGAAGCGCAAATGCAGTATTGATATACGCACAGGAATATGGGACCTGTCCAAACGAATGCGAATGGGCTGGACCTTGAGCCAGGAAATCTGGAATCCTGGGCTTTGGAATCTAGGTATACAGCTCAAAGAATTCGGAATCCCACTAAGATTGGAATCCGTGGTCCAAGTTCCATTGACAAATAATCCGGAATCCAGTTGTACCTGAGTCCGGAATCAACGGCGTCGAATCGAGAATCCAAGACTTCTTGGATTTCCTTACATGGGCGATAGTTTTAAAAGCTGAGAAGATCTACTGTATGAACGTATGAACGAAAGGCCGATTCGTGTTGAAATAAATAAATAAATAAATAAGTAAATAAATAAATAAATAAATAAATAAATGCGGTTACAAAAATTTCCGGATATGAGTAGACGTGGCCATACTTTCCTCAATACGCGAAACGATGGGTTGTGGAAATCAGACCAGAGCTGGGGCCCGTTTCTCGAAGCTCCCGGTAATTACCGGGCCCGTTAAGCTGTTTTGTTTTCCATTTTAGAAGGAAGTTTTAAAAGTTTTGAAAATTATACAGTAGAGTTATTAGCTAACGAAACAAAACGGACTTCATTAGAGGTCGTTTTGAGACTTTTCCATTTAAAAATATGATTCCGGGACTTTCGAGAAACGGGCCCCTGGTCTGAAAAGGAATGTAACGTCAACATATCTTTCAATTGAGGCTAAATTTCTCATTTCAGTATGCAAGTCAGTTGTTTACATCTCAATTGTTTCCTCACACCTGGTGCTCCATAGTTATGTCCCTATAGCTTTTAAGCTTTTACATTTCACCGTGAATTACGTAGCCGATTGGTCTCTAGGGCAATAAAACAATAATTCAAACAAGAATATTCGGTTGATGACATCGTTAGGTTTAAGAGTTCTCTGAGACGGTCAGTAGCAGTATATGTGTTTATGTTTGAGTGAAATAGTTTCTTTTGGTGATCTTCAAGGTTTTTCTCGCGATCAGTCACAAAATGATCACCAACCGTGGGAACACAGAACTCAAGCGAAAAGCGGCTAGACAAACAGCTTTTCAGAATCCTGTGGAATCGCTTCGAATAAAGTGTCTTTCTCGCGGGGCAAACGGAATAATGGGATTAGGAAGGTACGTGTGTTCACGAGATATTTCTCCTTCAGTCATTACTTTTTAGCTCTGTTATATTTATGCGTTGGATCGACGGACCATAACATTTAACGCGATATAATAGCTATCTTTTTCACCGTACCAGTCTTTTCCAAGCGTCAATTTTTACTAGAGATCTGAATACAGAATGTATGAACTCGCGAAAGCGTTGTAAACTTAAAAGTGATGGCATAAGAAGAAAAAGGTTCGGACTTCATCACTCACGAATTTTTGCACTTTAAATCTATTTGTCGGTGAAGAAATCTGTGCCTTTATTCAATCGTTAATATAAATTGGCACCATAATGCTTAGCACTATTAATATATTATAAAGCATCCTTGCATATAACTGTAGGCCAAAATGTTCTTATTTCTGGATCAATGATCAATTTCTGAGATTTTGAAATAGCGCGTTTTACAATATATTACCGGGAATGTAGCTTTATATTTTTCATCTGATTTGCAGATCTTTAGTCCATTAGTCAGCGAACACACTCATTTTTATGCATAGTTTTGTGAAAATAGATTCACCCTCTTCTTTCAAGAATTCACCGTCTGATAGGAAAAATAAACTTCGCGTGGTTCCGACAGTTCCGCATCGGTCGAATGAAGTTCTTTTTGACCTAGTAAGAGTTTCCTTATGTCACACAGCTTCTTTTAAGTCTGTACGGTTCTTTGCTAAGATCATCACGGCGAATCACGGATCCTTTACAATCTTTGAGCCCGTAGTACTTAAGTTATACTCACGCCACTGTTGTCATAGTAACTGCAAAATACTCTTCAGAATCTTCGTGACTTTGAAAGGGCGCCATATTTGTTAACGGGACTATACAAAAACAACATGGCTGCGACAGCGAGATCCGATTCAGAGATGAAACAGAAGTGTAAAAAGATGCTAAATAGTAAAGGAAAAATGGATCCAATTGAAAGATTAAGATTACAGTGCCTCAGTCGTGGTTCGGCTGGCATAAAAGGCATAGGAAGGTAGGAACTTAACGTTATCATTTTGTGTAGCTGACAGTCACCTTCATCTGCAAAACTTGTTTACCTGGAAGAATTGCCGCATGGTGTTTTCCTTTTTTAAGGCTTTCTTTGGTTGTACACGGTTGGTGTCAAATTGTGACGGAGGGGACGGAATTTGACGAATTTTTATCCATGAATTAGGCCGAGAAAATAGGCTTCCCAGAATACGAAATTGTACTGTATAAAGCTTTGATAGGGCTTTATGAACTATGCCTGAAGCAAGTGAATGGAAAATGCAATCCATGCAGTTTAGAACGCAGAAGAAAGAATGGTGCAATGTAGTCATTTAGATCAAACAAACTCTCACTATTTCAATTTGCTTTCTACATGCAAAAATATGTAAACAAGTCAATTCATAACACAATTATGTTTTATCCTAGTGCAATCATATTCCACTTTTACTTAGAATCATTTTTCATATTCGTAGTAGTACTTAAACATCATTCAATAGTTTCACTGATCTTAGTAATAGCACATGATTGCTGCGAGTCCTCCCCCTCGCCCCTCAGTTAAGCTGTGGTTTCTTGGGTGTCCTGTTGCTATATGGGCATTACAACGTGGATATATATTTGTAAAGATGATGTTTAGCTTGCCTAGTCCCTGTACGGCGTTTTCTCAGTCCCTCTCGGTCAATTCGTTTCTGTGACGTATCTGAGGCGAACGGGCGGGAAATGCCTAGACAAAAACAGAATGCGCATGCGTGCGTTACTTTTTGAAATTCAAAGATGACGTTAATGTTGTGAGCAGCAAGCAAGCAGGCAGCAGGAGATTTTGGTTATTAACCACTCTTGTGGATATTTGTAGGATCGACTTTTGCTGACCGGCTTTGAAAAGTCATCAGAATGTTATTCATAGTCCTATGAAGATTTATACTGCTCCTTCAATCTCATTATTCCAACTGAGCTATCGGAGTTTGCCACTCGCGAATTTTCAAAGTAAACACAATATTGACCCGTGTATTGTAAACTTAGACCTCAAATCTTGAATAATTAGAAAAACCATACTTTCAAATAAAATTCATGAGCTGCTGCCCAGAAACTGAATCTAAAATTAAAAATCCTATAAAATTCCGGACATTCACAGACGTGATGCGTGTTTGCTATGTTTTTAGCCATTATTTCTCCTAGTTCCAGCTGTAGTTCTTACTCTTGAAACGAGTGAAGTGTCCGCCATTTTAGTTTTTACAGCGAAAAAAACTCAATCTTGTCCCCAGGTCTTCTTGGTTAACGGTGCATTAAGTTTAACGTGTAGAAGGCTGCATTTTTGACATCATTTCCTCGTTAAACACAAAATTCTCCCAAATTTGGTAATAAGTAACTGGTTATGGTGAATTATGGGTGTGCTTTTAGCCAATCAGAATTAGGGAAATATTTTGAATGAATAATAATGTTATTTATTTACTGTCCTGGCCCCAGTTGTTTAAAAGGTGGATAGCGCTATCTGCTGGATAGATCTCTCTCCAGTGGATAGTGCAATTGGTTTCCCTAATACTTATCCACTGGATAGAGATTTATCCAATGCATAGTGCTATCCAGCTTTTGAACAACTGGGGCCAGGTGTCAAAATCTTATTGAGATCCTACTGGAAGCTCATTAGTTGAATTATGTACAGAATACTTTTTAAAGGTAAATGTTTTATTTCTGTTTTCTTTCTCCACCAGAGTTTTCAGAATAATGGATGATGATGCAAATCGAACGCTGGATTTTAATGAGTTCAAAAAGGGTATTCGTGAATATGGCCTTCATCTTGAACCAAAGGTATCTTTGCAATTTGACATACTTCTTTGCCGGTGCTGGACTGCAAAATAAAGTTTCTATCTTTGCAATGATCTTGAATATTTACATAGCACCCTGGGGCCACGTAGTTAACCTACAAAAATAAGGAGCTTAAGCAATGATGATGGTAAAAACACAGTTGGGTTAGATTGGCAAAACAACGACTCTGCTCATTCATCATGCTTTTTTGTACATTTCTTTGCTGTCGGTGCATGTCTATGACTTGAAGCTTCCTAATGTCGTGTTTTGTAGAGGATGGGAGTACAAGACAACGATTTCCTCTTTCTTTTGTGAAGTCAGGTATAGTCCTTTAAAATCCAACTCCTGAAAAAATCGCCAACCTATGACAAACTATAAGAGTTGGGATGAATTTGAAACAGCAAGAATCCTATTTTTTCGGCTGAAGTTTTTGTCGCTGTTGCTGTTGTCATTGCTTAAGCTCTCTAATGTCACCTGACAAGGGGGCAACGAATCTAGTGACAAACATACAAGATGACTCAAAAGAGTGTATGTTGTGGTTTTGTTTTATCCTTGGTTTAAGTTTTATTTTCCTTTGCAGCCCTGCAAGTAGCGACCATTTTGGTCATGGCCCCTAAAAGTTTGTAAAAAAGTCTCCCTAAGCCAAAACAGTTGGTGGCCAAATGGCAACCAAGCAAAAACTTTAACTTGGGGGGTTGCTTTGTAAGTTCCAGACTCATTACCATGTATAACCATAACCAAACCCAAAGTAAAATAGTACGATTAAAAACCAGTGCAAGGACACAATTGAACCACAACCGATAAACTATCACTCATTGCTTTAAAGTCTTTAATCGACTTCTTCATGTACATATCCTTTTGTTGGTCTCATTTGTGAGTGGATCTTTTATATTATTTATTATTGTAGGAGTTGAAGGAAATGTTCCAAGCATTCGATGCGGATGGCAGTAATGTTATTGACTTTGATGAGTTTCTCCTTGCCCTCAGAGTAAGTTGAAGACTTACATGTAGTTAAATTAATCCGGATTATTAGACAGAGGAGAAAAGAACTATTTAATTTGCCTCATGTATGAAATTCATTTGAGAGAACTTCATTTATAAGATATCTTTATTGTTCCCCTATTCCTTATCCACTGGTTAAACCCATCATCAATTATAGATGGGTGAGGGGATGGTGGTGTGACCATTCAATTACAACCTCTCACTTACAGCTGTACTTTCATCTGGTGTTATTTGTTTTGGACGTTGTTCTATCCTTTGAGTCTGTGGACAAAGTCCTATGGTGTAACCATTTGAATGCAACCTCTTACAGTGTAGCTAGTACTTTAACATGGTACTATTTGTTTTGTAAAAACTGTGCATGCGACAATCCCGAAAGGTAATATGGGATATGATCAACGCACTTTTCCTGACACTCAAAGCTGTCAAATCTACTTTTGTTGCTTTCCTTTAGCACTTGAAAACATACGTCCATGGCCTCTTGTGCCATTCTCACAAATTTCTTTGAAAAACAGTGAACTCAAAATCACCCACAGTACCTTTCGGGATTGTTGTGTGCACTTTTTCCGACAACCTTTCTTGAAATAGCTATATGTACAATCATGTACATGTAGTTCTATCATTTGAGTCTGTGGACAAAATCCTACAGTGTGACATTTCAAATGCATCCCCTCAGGTACTACTTTTACGTGGTGCTATTTGTTTTTCAGCGTTTTACATCTAGAAATTATTTTTGTTGAATGATGACTTTTGGCCCTGGGTGATAATTCAAGCATTTACAATACTGTGATGTACGCCAGGGTTTTCAATGAGAACCGGTGGCCGGCGAAATTGGCTAGCTATTTCACATAAACCAGCATGCTTTTCTTTGGAAATTACCCTAGTTTAAGTAGTTGGGTATTGATGTGCTGTCACTGAATAAAAGTGAAAAAGTGTCTTTTTTCTGTCCAAACACTCTATTTTTTGCTCCAGAATGCTGGAAATGCATTGTAAGAGGGCCAGATTTCAATTTTATTTTTTCAGAAACTTGCAACTTTGCCGTGAGTTTTGTTTTCCTTCTTCACCAACTCCAAAGCTTCTGCCACCTACCTAAAATCTCATTGAAAACCATCATGGTACATGTACACCCTGATATTCAATCTTTACTCTTGCTCTGCAGCCACCCATGAGCAAGGCACGTAAGAATATTATAAATGAAGCATTTAATAAGTTAGACAAGACTGGAGACCAGGTCATAACAGTGGAAGATCTTAGAGGGTATGTACTACTACATGTACACTGACACCATCCTGTACACTATTGTCTGTCAGTTCCAGTAATATTTTAGTGGTTAACACTTACAGTTGCCGTAGCTGTGAATTCAAGCCGTTCAATCACATTGATGTAGATAAGAAATAATCGATTAATGGATACTGATGACATACTATACTACTTGGGAATAAGCTTTATCCTATTTTGTGTGCGTGTGTGTTGGAGGGAGGAGGGGACCAATGACACTACGAAACAAGTTCCAGTAATTCAAACGTTGAATAGCGCTGTCCACCAGGCCCTGGTTGTTCAAAGGTTTGATAGCATTATCCCACTGGATAAGTCACTATCCAGCTTATTAATAAGTATTAGGGAAACCAATTGCATTATCCATCGCAGAGAGATTTATCGCGTGGATAGCATTATCCACCGTTTGAGCATTCTTGATGCCTACTCAAAGGTACGGTACTACCCTCTTGTGAGATGAGAAGTTTGTCCAGTCCTTGGGGTTGCCAATCCAGGCGGACTTGGGGTGGGAGGGGTGACTCCTTCCCTTAACCTTGGACCCTGATTTGACAACTATTGTTTTCAAAGGAAGTGATCTACTATAAGTGCTGATTTACGTATTTTCAATCGTTTAATTTTTTAATTTTTTGCAGAGTATACAATGTGAAGGCACATCCAAAATATCAAAATGGTGAAATGACAGAGGATCAGATTTTCACGAAATTCTTAAACACCTTTGAAGTAGGTGGTGATGTGGATGGAAAGGTGAGTTAACCCTTTAAGCCCCAATATCCACATACAAATTCTCCAAACTGATCTCCATAGATTTTCTTAAGAATTATTTGAGAGAATTTTATAAAAGATCATGGCATTTTCCCTTTGGTGATCATTTTAGTAATTCTCATAACCATTCCTCTTGACAATGTATGCATATTATTAGGAGAAAATTGTTTTTTGTCACTATTGGCACGTAAAGTGTTAAGGCTTGTCTCAGTTGAAGAAGATTCTCTCTGGTTTTGAGAAATGTGTGTTTCAAAAGCACAAAGCTTCGCTGCAGTCTCCGTCAAATGAGAAAGACTTGCTAAGGGTGCTTTTCACTTTAAAGCTACAGTTGTTTCTTTTACTATTGAAGGTTTTTTTTTTACAATCCGCTCATGGTTTGAAGGTGTACTTAAAAAGGTCTGAGTGTTTGAAAACTGAAACTGTTGTCAATGTTGGCACCATTTGTCAATATAATTACAGTGGGGAGCGAAGCGTTTTCATAAATAAACAAGATCAATTTTTTCCCCAAGGGTAAACGGCTATTACTAACTGAAAATCCAGGTCTGGAAATTCAATGTACACATCTTGGATTGAACTTAAAAAGATAATATTAATTATTGTTCATTCAAAAATATTTCTTCGTTTCTGATTGGCTTAAATCTTCAAGCTAAGTCTTCATAACCAGGTAGCATTGACCAAATTAATTTGGAAGATGTTTGCCAATATAAATACAATTGACGTCAATCATCTTGATATGGACAGAAAAAAGGACGCACGGCCTATTTTAACAGTGCAGAGCTGTGTCAGAAGTTCTGTTACAAGAAGTATTTCGGAATTGAAAATATATGAAATGAATCATGTATATACGATAGATTCGCATATCGTTATCCGCAGTCCAAAACATGATTCATGATCATTTCATTATTTCAATTCATATCATTTCCACTATCGTGTAATTACGTCAATTGTCTTGATATCGACAAAACAACGGGCGCACGACCTATGTTAGCAGTTCAGTTTTGTGTGTCAGAAGTTGTGTTACAAGATTAGAATAATTATCTATTCTTTCTGAATTGAAATGAAATGAATCATATTTTGAACTACGGATAAAGATATGTGTACACGATCTTCGCATATCAGATATCTTAATAATCCGCGTTTAAAATATCATTTATTTCATTATCTCAATTCATGTCATTTCCACCATCGATTGCGAACTCACAATGACCTGCTCTCCAGTTGGCGTGATTAGCTCAATAGATATAGCGTTGGGTCCGGTCACCGCAAGGGTCAGGGTTCCATTCCCGGTCCAGCCTGAATTTTATCAGGTTCTTTTACAACCGGGTTGTTCCATTCCCGAATCCAGTCCACAACAAACACAACTCACGAAAAGTTTCTTGTCAGATGAAAGGAAAACCGGACAAAAATGTACCGTTTCACAGTGCATCAAAAACAGACATGACATGACACTGGTACGGTTATTTTACTTCAGAAGATAATGAATAGACACCGGTAAGCTTTACTGCTATTTATACACTGTTATATTATATGTAGTCCTTCATACGACACTGTAAAACTTGAAACTTCATTGCAGGCGAAACGACTTAGATCGTGTAGGCGAATCGACCTGGATGTAGGCGAAACGACTTGTAGGCAAAACGACCGGTTTCCCGAAGGTCATGTTCGCTTTCATAAAATATCTTTCTGTTGATATTCCGTTTTAGATAACAAGAGATGAATTCATGAATTACTATGCAGGAGTCAGTGCATCTATAGATAATGACGCGTATTTTCTACTTATGATGAAAAATGCGTATAAGCTATGAATACTACACCCAGCCCTTTTGTCGAACTGCGCATATTAGCCGAGGCTGGGCTCACCGTGGAGGCACATTCGTTCTGCGTATATAGAATATGAATTGCTATGGACTGCAGAAGGATGAAATATATGTACGCCCACCCTTTAGCAGGCTTCATACCCAAGACCAGGCGACCGTTAATTCGAACTTATTAATTAGATATCAGCTATAGGAGCTGTGGAACTTACTTCGTTGATGACGTTTAATGCTTTTTAATTCATATAGACACTTGCTACGTTGCCCCTGCCAGGGTTCTATCTAGGATTTATCGTTTGGGGGAGAAGTCCCGAGCGGCGGAGGCCAGGACCTTCTTAGGGGGGTCGGGGCATGCCCTCCCCCGGAAATTCTTTGAAATGAATATGCGCTAAGATGCAACTTGGTACATTTTGAGACACAATTTTGAGAAAGGTTACAGTGAGTGAACTGACCTCGTCGAGTCCAGATGATTCTTCCGATATAGTTACTAAAACACTGTAGTGATAACAATCTCCTTTTTGGGGGGGGGGAAGCTGGGAACTTTTTGCTGGGGGGAGCTTCGACCCCTTAAACACCCTAGATAGAACCCTGCCTGCGTAAATGGTTGCTGCATTTTTGTTACTTAAAATGCCATCAACCGTTTACGCTTGTAAATTATTAGTAGAGACAAATGTATAAAATGAACAGACTTAGTAATTGGGGGGAAATGTCAAGATTTTATTAAAGTACATCATGGCTTTAAAAAAGGGAAAACATTTAAATCGTAGCGCACTGTTACGCGGAAAAAAATTCCCTTTCGCAGAATAGCCGTCGACACTACGAAGTTTAAAGGTACACATAATCGCGGAATTTTACAGATGTTTCTATCGTGGTTGGCACGGGGGGGGGCACGGAATTTGCCCCCTACCCCCACAATTGAAACGTCTGTAATTTAATGGCGCGACTTTGCGGAGGTATGTCGTCGTTAGTTTTCGACAAATCACTTTCAAACTTGGCAGCTTCACTGATTTTCATGCGTTCTTTCCAGCCATGTCCTAGTCAAGAGTTAAAAAACCGTATTAGGGTCTGTTGCCTTTGCTAGACAACACAGAAACTGAGGAAAAATTGGCAAGTTTCGTTGGATCTAAAATGATTGCTGTCTTTCAAAACGAAAAAAAAAAAAACGAACAGGAATGTAACTAGACTGCTCCTAAGGGTTTTTTTTTTCACTGACTTTCTTTTTCTTTTTTTTCCCAAGGAATTTGACCTGCGTGCCTACCCCCTTGCGCTAGTGGTCACTAAACCCACGCTTTCTTTATTTTGATTTGCGCGCTTGCCGATCCCAAATATGAAAGAGAAAAGAGAAGGTCTGTGAAAAGGCTGGAATGTAGCAATATTTGATTGACTTAGCGATCCCAAGACTGTCCCGTAATTCCCGAGGGACATCCCGATAAATGGCGCACCACTTTCAAAACGCACCTGTCTGAGACTCAGATGCGCGCGGCTTTTGGTTAGTTTAGTGAACTCGCAACCTAGAGTTAGATTCATGATCCTCACAAATTTGTACATTATGCTTTTGAGCATCACCTTAAAAACAACTGCAGCATTATGGCTAAAGTTGTGCTCGAGAAGTAGCGTTATGCATGGCTACTCTCGGTTACTGAATATGATGCCCCTTTCCATCCCTGCGGATACAAAATACTTCCATACTTCAGGAACACAACATTCTATTGCACTGATTACAACTCTAGAGTCAGTAAATTTCTCCTTGCGCAGAGAATAGAAAAAAAAGTTCTAGGCCCCAGTTGTTCAAAAGCTGGATAGCGCTATCTACCGGATAAATCTCTATTCGGTGGATAGCTAGTCTGCTACACGCAACGCTCCTCCCCGCAGGAGGAGCATTGCGTGACGACTCTAAAAACGGCTGTGTAGGAGACTAGTGGATAACCTTTGGTTTCCCTAATACTTGTCTGCTGGATAGTGATTTATCCAGCGGATAGCGCTTCCCACCATTTGAACAACCGGGACCAGAGGCTCAAAAATGTCCTCATACAATAGCGCCAGTGGCGTCTTGGCAGGTCAACTTTTGAGCGGCCCGAGCAATCGAGTCGAGTTTCAATCACAGTCTGTGCTGTGTCATTGATAGGGGGCGTCTCTTGCAGGCTCTTTCGACATTGTCGATGATTCGCGTTTCTTTGTGTGTTCTTGGTGACTTCCCTATATCGTACGCGCCGCCTCTTATTTAAGAGGGCCGCCTGTGTCCCGTCTTACTTCGAGGACGGCTGAGTAGAGCGTTTTCACATGACATCACGGTGGCCATATTGGTGTTCCAAAGCAATAAAACGGCGGCCATGTTCGTGTACCAAACAAATCCTGTGGGAGTTGAACTCTTTTCTTATGTAGACGCTTCCTTTTGTTTCAATAAATTTGTATAGATGCTGGTCACGTGAGTGAAAACGCTCTATTGCGAGGAAAATTTTCAAATTTTTCTGGGTTTGAATTTCTTTAAAAATTTCCAGCCACCTTCGAAAATTGTCGATATCGATTGACAAAGAAATGACAATAAAATATATTGCTCTGTTAAAGTTTTCTAGCTGATTACATAACTGTATTTTTTAGTGGCGCGCAGTGTATTAAAAAAAGCCATCACAAAATTCTGTTTTCCTACAAATTGATTTCTCATTTGTTCGTGGGAGAATTTACGAAAAAAAAAAATTATCAGAAGGTAGTCGGGAAGCAATTATATAAAATCTTATTCTTAAAACACGTTACTTGGCAGTGTAAATCTGTTACGTAACACCTTAAAGTGGACAATTTATGGCCAGTGTGTGGTTGTTGTAACAGAAGGCGAAGTATTTTCTTCTCTTCTTCTTTTTCTGGCACAGAGAATAGAAAAAACGTCCAGAGGCTTAAAAATGTCCTCATACAACAGCGCCATTTCTTTGCTGGCCTGAGTGAGTCGAGTTTCAATCACAGCCAATATATGACAGAAAGTACATCAAAGCTCGAAGTACACTTCGCTCCAGTAATTTTTTTGTATTTGCAGCTGTGATTTGTTTTGCTGTTATTTCCTTGTAAATATACATAAAAACGCGCGAACCTTTTAGGATAAATGTACCAGTTAGGCCCATTTAGCACAAGCAGACCTCTTTGCAATTAATCTTCACAGTATCTAGTGTGTCCGTAATCGATTTGTGACAATGATCAGGAGTCAGTTGTTCAAGCGTTCCTGCATCATGGTGCATATTAGGTAGTTCTTGAGTCGTCTGAGGGTAGAAAATGTGCGCTCTAAAGTCGCCGATGTCTGCCAATGAAAAATACATCCATTTTTTTCCCCTGCTACACCGCCTAACAGTTTCAACCATGCATATATCTCCATAGGCTATGGAGATATATGCATGGTTGAAACAGTTGTTTTCAATAGCTATTTGATGCCCTTTACTGAATGGAAATATTGTCTTTTGAAATCTCTAAACCAGACATGCCATACCTTTTCTCGAATTTTCGCTGTTACACAGGAGACCAATTTTGAAGAAGGTTACTCAAGATTGAAGACAGAGAGAAGACGCAGGAAGTGGATTTTAACCCTTTATTTCACCTATTGATTATATCACCAAATGCCCCAAACTTAATACCAACTTAGGCTATGTTAACACTATAACGGATAACTTTTGCGTCGCTTCGAAAACCATACCGGATATGATAGGGCTTGTATTCACACACAAGAACGGTGACTCTGCGGTGATATCTGTGATGTTGCAAGGCTGTGCCGTGTCATGCCGATCTCTAAAGTGAAGAGTCACAAGGTGGACAGGTCTTCACACCATACCGGGTAGCTTTTGCGCATGCGCCGTCACGAAAACCACACCGAATATGATAGGGCTTCTATTCACACACAAGAACGGTGACTCTGCGGTGATTTCTGTGATGTTGCAAGGCTGTGCCGTGTCATGCCCATCTCTAAAGTGAAGAGTCACAAGGTGGACAGGTCTTCACACCATACCGGGTAGCTTTTGCGCATGCGCCGTCACGAAAACCACACCGAATATGATAGGGCTTCTATTCACACACAAGAACGGTGACTCTGCGGTGATTTCTGTGATGTTGCAAGGCTGTGCCGTGTCATGCCGATCTCTAAAGTGAAGAGTCACAAGTTGGGTAGGTCTTCACACCATACCGGGTAGCTTTTGCGCATGCGCCGGCACGAAAACCATACCGCATAAGACTTCCGTTGACACATAAAAACGGTGATCTCAGCGCGATTTCTGTAACGGAGCGAAGCTGCGCGCGCCGATCTGTAACGTGGAGCTCCGGAGGGGGGGGTGTACTCCCTTATATAACCCATATAAATATGTGCCGCCCCAAAGGCTAGGAATTTTGCAGCGTTTTGGTCTGAAAACTGGTATAGACTTTGCCTATTTTGGTTTGGAATCAGGTATGGTTTTAGAGGGAACTACGGGAGTGTATGAACGTATTTATCATTTCAGTTCCAAATGACCAAGAAAGAAAGAAAAATGTGCGAATTCGAAATGGATTTCAAGAAATCTTTTTTGTTGCTGTTCTTATCTAAGTAATGATGACATTATTTCTTAGAGACCGAGTCTGAAAACGGGTATGGATTTTAGAGCAGGGTCAGAATTAGGAGAACCGGGCGGCACAACCCCACCAAGAATTCCCAGGAGTACCCCCCACCTCCCGGGCGTGGAGAGTCACATATCGGATCGATCTTAATAGTATGCCGAATAGATTTTCGTGCCAGTTATCCGGTATAGTATGAACATAGCCTAAAAAAAAAAACATTTGCGATCATGAAACCCTAATCTTATTATCACCCTTTCACGCAATTCACGCGCCATCTTGGCATGTTTGAAGTTAAGGAATGGTGGCAGGTGAGTGTCTGGCAGATTATGCCAGTAAAATCGAGCCGATAATGCTTTGTTGACGTTTTTTGACGGTATTATTTTTCTAATTATGCAACACTAAAATCAGCCTCGTCCAAAGGAGTTTTCGGGGACGAGGATGGGTTAAGATGACACTCTCCCCCCACCCCAGTGCCTACAAAATATTAACAATACGTGGGATCAATTTAGGTTTCCGCAAAACTGCCCACTTACCCCTCCCCTAAGCAATCATTTTACCCTAAGTGAGAATTAAGGGTTAATGTTAGCTTAGGGGAGGGGTAGGTGGCAGTTTCCCAGGAACCTAAACTGATCCCGCATATCTTGTTAATGCCCTTAACAGAAGCTAGTAGCATAAGAAGGTCACCACGCCCTTGACTATGTTTAAATGGACTGGATACGAGACTTTTAGGACC